GGGGGGGGGGGAAGGCTGTGATTCAGAGTCAGCCTCCTCCTTTCTGAAGCAGTTCCTGAATGTCTACTGTTCAACAGTGAACAGAGGGGCAGGCTTCCTGCCCTCACCAAGCTGTGTCCAAACGGGCAGAGCACAGGGAGTTATCTTAAATGGACACTTCAGTGGGATAAGTGCCAAGACCAAGGGAAGCACCAGGACCTGCCAGAGGCACCAAACCCCACCCAGAGGAGAGCATCTGGAATAACAGGCTTGGGTTTCAGTCCCAGCCCCATCACACTCTATTGGATGCCTCTTCAGTGATCTAGCCTCAGTTTTCTATCTGTAACAAGCTAATAATAAATGCCCCCTGGGCATTCCTGGCTACAAGGCTCCAGAAAAACAATGAGTATGGCCATGTGTTCGGGATGAACGTGGACTGTGCCAGTGGACAGGCGGAAATCCAGCCCCACAGGTCCAGGGCACTGCAAAGCATCATGGGCTGGGTGTCAGGAGACTGGGGTGTGAACCCACTCTACCCCCAGGTCACAGTGTGGACTTGGGCAAGCCGCATCTTGCCCACTCTGGGCCCCTAGCTCCTCTTCTCTTCTATGGGTTGAGGGCACAGGATGAGATCAGTGGTTCTCAAACTGGGCTCCAGGGTACCCATGAGTTCCACAGAGAAGCTCTGAGAGTCCCTGCTACAGGGGACATTGAACTTAGAGAGACGTCAGGTTCCAGTCTGCCTCCTTTATGTCAATCAGGGAAGTTTCCATTTTCATCTGCTCCACATTTTGAGTTCCAAATAAGACTTCTCTAAAAAACAATAACAACAAAGAAAGGATTCCATGGCTATAAAGATTTGAAAAACTAGTGGACCTGATGACCTCCAGGGGCCTTCCAGCTCCAACTGAGAAAAGTTAAGGTCTAACTGTTTTTTTCCAAGTGTCATTTAGCAGGCACTTATCCAGCACTTTCTACATGCCAGAGCTGTTCTTAGCACCCTGCAGATTGTAAGTGCTTAATTCACTAGATTACGTCCCAGCTCCATGAGGGCCTCATGACTGAGGAAATGACTGTGTGTGGCTAAGAAGGACCAAGGGAGCCATTTCTCCACTAGGCATGTCTTCTGGGTGCCTGGGCAGATGACCTCATCGTAGGCCAGGTGGTGCTTGGCCAAGCCTACTCTGAGAAGCATCCGGGCAGGTGTGCACAGCAACAGGGTGTGGTCACAGGAGGTCTGTGCGTCTCAGCCCCCAGAGGAGGAAAGCAGAGCCTTCCAGCTTGACACGGATGCTTTCATCCGAGGCATGTGCCATGTGGGAGGAAGTGCCTGTTGCCTTAGCAATGTCCTCAGCAACAGGTCCACTGCCTCCTGTGATCCATCCCCAGCCACCATGCTGCCATCAACACCCTGCACCAGGTGGCTGCAGATCAGATTTCAGGGGTAGTGGCCAGAGCCTGGAGAAGGCCCAGAGGTGGGGTGCTGGGGTCTGACCTCATCTCCAGCCAGCTCATTAAGGGGAGCAGCGTGGGCTGCTGCATCCAAGCTCAATCCAGCTCTCCTGACCGCCAGAAACAAGAGTGGGAGGAGATGGGTGGAGCTGATCTAACAAGCACAGCTTGGCCCCATTGCCCATGACGGTATTTTTGGCCAGATTTTGTGTACCTATTGCATGAGCTTTTCTGTTTATATTATGTGTTCTGGTACCACATAGCTAATATCACTTGAGGGGAACTTCTACAATGTGGTGGTGGTGTGTCCCAAATGCAGACAGAGTGCCAACACTCTAGGAGCCAGTCTGAGGGATTACCAACCAGCCTTCCTGACACATACTAAGTGATCACAGCAGGTGTCACAGTGCTAAGGAAAGGGTGGGGTAACATGCTTTTTCAGGTCCCATGCTGGGTATTGCAAGTACAAAGTGACTAAGGGGCACTTCCTGTTTTTCAAGAAGCTCATAGCCTATTGGTAGAGACCAGTAGCTAACAGCAGTTACAATCTAATGTCCACGCAGTGGTGGAGGGAAGCATGGAGGGAAGTGTTGCCACAGTTGTGCTGTGTGGCGAAGGCAGTGAGGGTTTGCTCAGCTGCCTGGGCCCAGTTGCAAGCGGACTCTGCTGGGCTCTCTTGCATGTCTGGGGGCTGACTGGCTGTGGCTGGGCTAGGATGGCCTTGATGGGACAACAGAAGCAGTGTGGCTCTGCCTTACCTGTCTCATCCCCCAGCAGGATAGCCTGGGCTGCCTTCAGGGCAGTGGTGGAGATGCAAGAGGCAGCCGCAGCACCTTCAAGCTTTCAGGCCACCATTTGAAGTGGTTATTAACCTCCCATTGGACATAGAGCCAGAATGGGAGGGAGCTCCTGAGTTCCACGGCCAAGGGCATGAATACAGGGAGACCTTGGGAGTCCCACAGAGGGGTCAGGGAAGTTTAGTGGAGGAGATATCTGAGCTGAGCCTGGATGGCCAAGTCTGAATTTAAAAGTGGAGAATGGAGGTGGTATGCACAGAGATTGCTGAGTAGTTGAACATTTGAGGACACAAGGGCAGGTAGGAAACAAGGTCATTGACCTCAGCAGGGTCCAAGTCACTGCCTTGAAGACTCTCTTGAAGAGCTAGGCCTTTATCCTGGGGGTAGGAGGCACACATGAAAGTTTTGAGCCAAAAAGAGGAGACCATCAGATTTGTGCTTTTAAAAGATGACAATGGCAGAATATGGGATAGGTGGGAGGGGAGGGGGTCTGTAAGGAAGGCAGGGGAGGGGCTAATGCAGTGGATCTGGTGAGAGACGCTTGGGCCTGAATTGGTGTGGCTCAAGAGGCTGGGAGACTGTCACCCAGGACAGTGTGAAAACAGAATAAGCAGGGCCTGAGGACTGGTGGGACAGGTGGCCTGAGACCACCTCCTGATGCTTTGCACAGGAATTGCAACAAGTGTTTTCCTATATCTGTGCTAAATAACTCACATAATGTCAGGCTCCTCCTCTTTGTTGGCCAAGAGAGTCTGGGATACAGTCGCTGTGTGAAATCGAGCCAGTCCCTTCCCCTCATGAGCCTCTGTTTCCCATCAAAATGGGACCTTTCAGTCATCTCTCAGGGACCTCGTACCTTGGGCAGGCCATGTTCTATTAGACCCCTGGCCCTCAAACACCAGAAGCAGTCAGGCTGTGGAGAAGTTCCCAGGAGCTGTTAAAATCCACATCCTAGGCTCCACTTCAGAGATTACAATCCCAGGGGTGGGACCTGGGCATCTCATTTTGTGTGTAGCACTTCAAGTGATCTCAATGCCTGGCCAGTCCACCTGAGACACAGCTGCGTCCCCAGGGCCCAACATTGTGGCCTGGAGCATAGAGGCGCGTGAGAAAACATGCGGAATGTCAGCCTGGGTCTGACCTAGAGCCCAGCTCCTAGGTCTTCACCTGGGATGAAGACTGCTTCCAGAGAAGGTGGCATTTAGGTTAGGCCTTGACATCTAAGCTTATTTTGATCATTTGTTTGCTTGCTTTGTTTTGGGGTGCTCTTGATTACAAAATGAGTTTATGCTCATTCTAGAACTTTCCTAAACACAGGAAAAGAAAGGAGTCCAAAGAAAAACTTACCCATCATTCCAAAACCCAGACACAACCAAGGTTCTCATTTTATCACATCATTAGATAGGATGTTAATACTCCGAGCAGGAGTGAGGGCCGTGGGGGCAGAGGGCTGGGGATGGGAACTGGCTGCATGTGTTCAGAGGCCGGTGAGTAGGGAGCAGGAAGTGTGGAAATGCTCAGACTGCGCCAGCTGGTGCCAGCTCCACACACCTTCTCTGTTTCAGGGCCTGTTGCCCCAAAGTACAGAGGGCAGAGCGCCAGTCCTGGAAGTGTCAGGGACCTCAGCCAGGTCCCTGAGCACAGCCCTCATTGCTCTTTCTTCCCTCTGCCCAGGTGCTGTTTGCCCTGAACCAGACCCTGCTGCAGCATGAGAGCGTGCGGGCTGGGAGCCTGCAGGCACCCTACACCACGGAGGACCTCATCAAGCACTACAACTGCGGGGACCTCAATGCCGTCATCTTCAACCACGACACATCACAGGTGAGGCTGCCCTCCTCAGGCCCAGACGACCTCTGGGTCACTAGTTCCCAAGGCCAGGCCCATGTGATCCCATCAGTCATTTATTAGATGCCTACTGTGTGCCAAGCACAGGCAATCTTCTCTCCAGCCATGATAAGTAGTAATATTGGGATCTCCATTTTACAGATGGGGAAACTGAGGTTCAGAGAGGGGAAGAGACTTGGCCAAAGTCATACCACTCATTAGTTGTTGGATTATCAAGCTATCAGGAGCAGTACTTGAGCCTAATGTGTATAGACCCTAGAAGCTTGGCCTGGAAGAACAGGGTGTCCTCTGGGAGGTTCAGTTCAGCATCTGGTGAAATTAAAACCCAGGGAAGGGAAAGCCCACAGTTACTCAGAGCTGGGGCTGGAGTCTATCCCCGAGTGTTCTGCCTTGATTTGAAGCCTAGAGGAAAAATCACCCACAAGCTGGACAAACAGTGGGTAGGACCCCGAGAAGCTGGAGCATAGGTCCATCAGGCCTCCCATTGTCCTCAGAATAAATTCCAAGACACTTTGCCCAACATTCGAGGCCCCCTGTGTCCTGCTATCTCCTGACCATGTCATAGCGCAGGTGCCCCACAGCACAGAGCTTGTCTTACTGACCCAGGCTACGTGCAGCTGTTCCCCAATGCAGTTTGCCTTTCAGACCCTTCTGCCTGCGTCCAGGCTCCTCCCTCCTGGTCATATGTCACCTCCTCTGAGAAACTCTCCCGGACCCCCTGGATGGAGTTGGATACTCTCCCAGGCAACTCTAGGCCTGCTATGCTCTCTGTGTCATGGTGTTGGAATCTCCATTCATTCAACAAACAGTTGAATTAGTCAGAACAGGCCTCTTCTCTGCTCAGGGCACTGCAGTGACTCCCCATTCTCCTCAGGGGAAAAGCCAGAGTCTCTACAATGGCCTGTGTGGCCCCTTGGTTGCCCCCCCTACCAACCCATGACCTCTTCCCTCCCTTCACACCCCCCGCTCCAGCTGTATGGACCCCTTGCTGCTCCATGAGCCCACCTGGCATGCCTCGCCTCGGCACTGGCTGTTCCCTCTGCCAGGAATGCCCTTCTCCGGGTGTCACTGTGCCTCACCCCACTCTGCCTTCAGGACTTAATTCGAATATCATCATTTCAATGAGGCGGGCCCCAACAGCCTGGCTTAGAATTGCAGGCTGCCCCTCACTCCCGTGCTCTCATCACCTTTCTTATGCTCTGCTTTTCCCCCGTGGCCTTTATCATTTTCTCGCCCGCTTATAAATCTCAATTCACTAATTAGTGACTATTTATTGTCTGTCTTTCCCCACTAGAGCAGGACCTCCCTGAAGGCAGCTTGGGCCTGTTTTATTCATTGACATATTCCACTGGCTAGAGCAGTGCCTGGCACAGAGCGGGACAGGCACAGTGTCATGAAAAGGGACATGGGGAAGCCCGAGAGAGCTGCCCTCGTGGTGTTCACAGGCTCAGAGGAGAGATAGGGAGCTTCATCCAGCAATGGCACCAAAGTGTGACCCTTGCCATGAGGGGCAGTAGAGGATGAGTTGGAGCCTGTGGCAGGAGGAGGAATTTAGATGGGCTTGGGGATGGGGGCTGGAGCTGGGGAAAGAAGGAAAGATTCCTGTAAAATGAGAGGTCAGAGAAGAACCTGAGTTGGCCACAGATGGGAGGAAGAAGACTGTTCCAGCAGAGGAAACTGCATGTGAACAAGCCAGAGGCAAGAGAGAGCAGGAGGAGATGAGTTTGTGTTGGAGGCACAGCTGGGGCCAGCCCATGTCATTCTGTTCATGCACCACCTCACTGGACCTGGAGCTCCTTGGGGCAAGAGTGTGGTGCCTATCTCTTGGTCTGGGTGTCGGCACAGGGCCTGGCACGAGCATGCATCAGTGAGCGGCTGGTGCATGGACAAATGTCTTAAGGTACACCTTGGCCATGGTTCGGTATAGAGAGTGAAGAGGGAGAAGGATCCAGAGACCTGGCCACAGGAGGCTTAGGATTCTGAGACCTCTGACTCTTCTGGTGGGGGAGGGAGCGAGGGAGGAGAGAACTCTGACACCACGAGGCTCATAGGCATTTCACCAGCCATTTGCTTTGTGACAGAGCCCTGGCCTGTCCATCTGTTGGGGAGAGGCTGGTGACCCCTGAGCAGACAAAGAGCTGGGTTGCAGAGGAGACCTAGTCACCACCAGAGATGTCCTGGCCGCAGTGTGGCTGGTCTGCGGGGAGGGGAGTTCAGGCCAGGGCCCTGCGAACACCAAGCTGAGGGAGAGAAGAATGGGGTGGCCTCGGGGGATGGCAAGCTCAGATTTTCTTTGAGCCTGTGTCCAGAACCACTGATCTGTCCCTGGTGGGTGAACTGCCTATGTTGTTGTAGGGATTAAGGAAGATCCATTTGGAAAGTGATAGCACAGTGCATGGCACAAAAGAAGTCTCCACTAGATGTCAGCTTTGTGCCCTAGCCTGGGGAACAGAGCTGGTGTCATCACTTTCCCCTGCAATGGCAGAGGCTACAGTAAAGAGTGGCTTTGGGCAGGGGATGGAGAGGGAGGTGACAGAGAGATAGCAGCATTCTGTCCAGGATGCAGGCAGAGGCCCTGCCTCCTCTGCTTCCTGACCAAGAGGGTGCATTTGTGGAAAGATGAATCTACATTCATTCCTTAGGAAGCTAAAAAAATTTAAAATTTAACGAGGACAAGAATCAGGAAGTTTAACATGAAAGTTTCAAAGGAGCTGGGCAAGCACTCGGGGTCCCTGGGCTGCCCAGGGGCTGGCCCACATTCTCTGCCTGTTTCATGCTGATGGGCCTTCACTTCATGCCAAGGATGGGGCCTGGGTTTGGGCCCAGGCGGGGATGGGAGCAAATTAATGATGTCATTAGACTTGTTGGGAGCTTTAAATCTTCTGTCACAAGTTTAAGTGCAGGATGCATGATAAGATTTTAAAGAGGACATGTCATGTCCCCAGGGCCCTAAAGTGATGGGTCTGAGATGGGGTGGTGAGAAGATGGCTGGGCAGAGCTGGAGTGGGGCCGTGGGATGTGACCTCAGTGTAGGCTCCCCTGACCCACGACCAGCTAAGTGCTCAGTCTTCATGCGTCACCGACCCCAATGGCCTCATCCCTTTTCTTCACCCCATTCATCCAACAGACACCTTCTGAGAAGTCTCACTGGTCCGACCCTGTGGAGCTAAGGGGCCACAGAGCACCCTCAGACTGGGTCTGCTGCTCCCAGTGGGGAGTCAGACTTGCAAATGAGAATACTGCGGGGTCCGAGCTTTGAGAGGGGTACCAAGGGATTGGGGAGCCAGAGGAGGCACCTAACAGGGTGAATATGTGTCTGGGTTTGTCCAGGAAATTCCAGGTTCAAGGTTAAGGTAGACTGCCCCACACCTGTTAATTATTCTGACTCTTAATTATATATGAGCTTTCACTCTCAAAAGTGTCTGAGTGTGGACAATAAATATATTACCCTCATGTTACCAATTTCTAAACTGAGTCTAGAGAGGCCAAGTCACTTGGTTGTAGAGACCACCCAGCTGGTAAATGGTGAAGGAGGGATTCTAGCTGTCGCCCTGGCTGCTTGACCTCAGGACCCACATTCTTACCACCATAACTCTACTGCCTCTCAGCTCATTCATTCATCCATTCATTCACTGAGTGAACAAATATTTATTTGTTGGTACAACATTGTTTTACATTCTTTCCCATGTTCAAGGAAGGAAGAGAAGCCTGTGAGGGTTATGTTTCCAGAAATAACCCCTCTGAGTCTCAGCTTTCTGTGTTCCCCCTCCACTCGGAGGCCTACAGGATTGCCTTTCTCATGGCCAAGTGTGGCCTGTGGTATCAGGGCTGCCGATCATCCCTTCCACGGTTGCAGAGGGAGTAAGAACTCCATTTCTTCATGTATCCATTTGCCAAAAAGGCCCTGGGCACCAACTCTGTGCTGGCCCTGTCAGGCACCAGCATGGCTGCTACATACAACTCTACAGGAGACACCAGCCATATCATTGTCCTGTTCATCCTAGAACAGCCCATCAGGCCTTTCAGGCAGAGCAGCCCCTCCCCTCTTACCCTGGAACACACTGGTCCCTGGCCAGCAGAGATCAGAGACAGATGTCCGGCCTTCTCCAAGTCCCTCAGGGTTCAGCCTCCGTTGACGCCTTCATTTTCCTCAGAAAGAGTGTTGACAACTCATCAGTGGCTCTAGAAGCCATGTGGCTGGGCCACATGACTCTTCTGAGGGCTAAAACCTGCAGGAAATTAGTCTCCTCATGCCAGACTCTCCAACCAGCTAGTCCATCAGTCAGCTGGGCCGCGTGTCCTGTGCTTTAGGCCTGGGTTGGTGGAGACAGAGAAAGGGAAGAATATTCGGAGGAAGACATGCTGAGAGCAGGAGCTTGGAAGTTGGGATGACATTGACAGATGTGGGGAAGGAAAGAGCCTGTTCTCTTTCCTCCATGGCCATGGCTTCCTCTGAGGCTGCACCAGCGTGTTGCAGGGCATGGTGTAGGACCCCTGGACCCACCACCCAGGTGGAGAGACACTATCTGGGAATGGAAGAACGCAGGAGGAGGCAGTGTGGTGAGGAAAGACAGCACAACTTCATGTTCAAGGTTTCAGAAACCTTTATGGGACACCTATTCTGTTACAGGCATTGATAAAGGCTCTGCTTCTGAGCTCAAGTTGCTCTCTGCCTAGTTCAAGAACATGTCAGTGATGTTGACCCAGGTCACATGGCTGGGGGTGGACAGTGGGCCCAGGCCTGAGAAATCTGGGCAGTTCCAGGCCAGGTTGCTAAACGGGAGGAAGCTATAGTCTTGAAGCTGAAGTTTCTAAGAAAGATGGAGGGGTTTGGGTTATGTCCTGAGAAGTGGTGGAGCTGGGGATGGAGAGATAGTGGTCGCAGTGGATGGTGGCCAACCAGCGCTCAGGCGTTGGGAAAAGCAAAGGCTAAGACCCCTGCTCTCATCTCTGTAGGTAGAGTGGACTGAAAGCAGCTCATGACAGCACTCATCATCTCATGTAACTCTCACAAAATATTGTCAGCCCCATCTTACAGATGAGGAAACTGAGGCTCAGAAAAGTTAAGTAACTTAGCCAAAGTCACACAGTGTCAGAACAGGGCCTAAAGCCCAGGTCAGCCTGAGCCCACACCCCATGGCCTTCCTGCTACAGCAGGCGGCTCAGCTGACTCTGCACACCTGCTCGAACAGAATTCCGTCTGCGTGCCCATGCCAGGCTGCTGGTGAGAGCAGTGAAGCAGCTGAGCTCTGCCCCGCCTCCCAGGACCTCCGTGTCTGGCAGCTGCAGTCCAACAAGGCAGAGACACAGGAGGGGTGCATGCGGGAGTGCAGCCGTCCCGGGCTCTCCTCCTGGCTTGGCCTCTTTGCTAGGTGTGTGCTTTGCACATGTCTCTGGACCTTTCCACTCTTGCTTTCTTCATTTATGAAACTGGAATATGATGAAAAAGCATATACAAAACATATCCCACGGTAGGGACATAAGAAAGGTATGTTGCTCACCCACCTGGACCGTGTGTGTTTGTGTGAGGCCCACGTTGCTCAGAAAGAACTGAAGGCAGCCTCTGTCTTACCTTTACAGCTGCCCAACTTTATCAACACCACGCTCCCGCCGCATGAGCAGGTGACAGCCCAGGAGATCGACAGCTACTTCCGCCAGGAGCTCATCTACAAGAGAAACGAGCGGATGGGGAAGAGGGTCATGGCGCTTCTTCAGGAGAATGAGGACAAGATCTGCTTCTTTGCCTTCGGAGCAGGTTTGGACCGGAGTGGGGAAGGGATTGTTTGCAGAATTCCTAAGAGCCAGGAGATTTGCTAAAGCCTTTCCAGTGCTTATGGCAGACTGGCCCCTCCTCTGTTCTGCTCCACAGGGGGATTTGGGGCAAAGAGTCAGAGCTTTGGAGTCAGGATGCCAGGTATAAAACATGGCTCTACCACTGTCAGCTAAGTGAGCCTGGGAAAGCCTCTCGCCCCCAGGGGCCTCAGCCTCTCCTCTGTGAAATGGGGATAATGTGCCCACCTCACCAGATTATGCTGAATACACTCATTTTAGATAACAGGGTTAAAGCTCTCCACCAGGGTGGAGGGATCCTTATAATAAAACCCCTACTATGTGCCAGCCTCTTGGATTACATTACCTTTGATCTTCACAGTAATATGGCAAGATGAGTTTTAATGCACACATTTTCCAGATGAAAGCCAGGGCCTCAAGAGACTGAATGGCTTCCGCAAGGCCATGCAGGCAGACCTTGGAGCCCTGGCCTCTTGCGTATGAGTCCTGGCCATTTCTCCTCTACATGGTACCCTTGCTGTATACTTCCAGAAGTGTTGACGATTTTGTGGGGAGGTTGCGTTTTTAGCTGGTGCAGCTCACAAAAGAATACTCTCCTGGTGTCTGTGATGTTTCTGCTTCGAGGTGCTGTTGGGCCTTTTCTGGAGGCCAGCAGAACAACTCTTCAGCAGGCTCAGGGACAGTAGGGGTACAGACATGTGTGAAAGCTCTGAGCAGGCCTGGGTGACATCTGGGGGCCTGAATGGAAGCCCTGCCTCTCCAGGAGGTAGCTGTGACCAGTGTGCTAACCAGCTTTCTGGAATGAACCAGGCCACTGCCATGGAGAAGTGAGCCAGCCCCAGGGGAGGGGAGGCCTGATCCCGACTGCCAGCATCATGCCAGGTGGACAAGCTGACCCTGAAGGGCCCCCAAAGATCTTAGGTAGGTTTTTGGGTTTCCTCTGATCTACAAATAACTGAGAAAAATAAATACAAGGCAATAATTTTTTTATTAGCTAATTTTATGCAATTCACTGGCTTATCTTTTAGTCTGAAATGATCTTTTATCTACTGTGTTTGAAGTTCAATATCCTTTTCTAAAAATGGTGGTGATATAAGACAAATGGGGCTTTTAAGCCCTTAGCAAAATAAAAAGTTAGTAACTGTATTATTCCACCCACTTTTTCTACAGATAGGAGAGACTTGAGCATGCTTAAAGCATAATGGAAAGACTAGAGAGGAAGAATGATACAGGAGACAGTGGGAACAAATTACTGGCCCAGGGATCTGAGAAGGCAGGCAGGGGCGTGACCGGAGCTCAGGCAGAGGGTGTGGCCTTGGGTGGGAGAGGGCACCTTCTCACTTGTAATCCAAGGGAAGGAGGGAGGAGGCCAGCAGGCATGTAATTTGGTGGTGGGAAGGCGAGAGAGTTCTCAGCGATGGCTTCTAACAGGAGTTCCACTCTGTAGAGTAAAATGTGAAGGCATCTGCGGAGAAAGAGGGGGAAGGCGGGAGGGTTCTTGGTGTGAAGAGAACATTTGACCTAAATTCAAGAGAGACTGGCCACAAGAACTGACATGGACCAGAAGTTAGATAGATTTCATATCCTGGGCTGGTAGTGGTAGATTGGTAGTGGCTGCCTGGAGTGGGATGGTACAAGGGGTGATAATACCGCATCAGAGCTCGGCAGAGATGAGGTCCTGATTGATTAGTGATATCCGCTGTGATCAGGATTAGGGCACATGCCTGCCATGTACCTGCTATGTCCGCTAGGAACACAGAGAGTGCTGACTGGCAGTGAGGGCCCACGGACCTGCAGTCATCTCAAGACGCAGGTTGTAAGATTTCCTACAGCAGCGCTGACCAAACAGGATATAAGTGTGGATGCTGCCCTCCAGGCCGCTTCGTGATCCTATCCTAGTGCGCCCTGCTCAGTGAACATCCCACTGCCAATGAACTGCTCCAGGGCAGGCATAAACCTCCTCAGAATTGCCAGCACTTAGGAATGTTCTGGAAAGACATCCTGGACCAAATCACCCCAAATCAAGTTCATTCCATTCAGTCACATGGCATCTCTTAGACCCCAGGCCTCAGGGGGTTCTCAGTCCCAGGCACTAGAAGATTATGACAATTTTGTCCCTCACTCCAGAGAACTGGGGCTTTCTCGGGATATGTTGTTCAACCATCCTGCAGCCTGGAATAGAGTAAATAGGAACTGGCAGAGCTGGGCTGGAGACATAGCCAGACTCAAGGGGAGACCTCTAGGGTCATTCATTTCAAAGTCTGAGAGCCAGAGGTTACCACAGATTATCTATCACATATTCTACAACCCTCATGAACTATAATCTGAAAATAATTCTAACTTCTGACATTGCCAAGCCCTTTGACCCTCGCATCCTGTTGTTTCAGGACCTTGTGATTCTGATATCCCAACGTTATCACCATAGCATTCGAACATTCTGGCATAGCTTGCTTCAATCCCTCTTAGATTCCTTGGGAGGAGTGTGGAGCTAAGAGCCTTCAGGATCTGGAAATTCCTCCAAGTAGGGCTACTGCCACTTGCCCCCGCAAGAAGCAGAGGTCCAGGCAGAAAGCAGGGTAACAGGCAGGCTGTGCGAGCGCGAGAAACAGAGGAGCTGTAGCTGTTACCCCGAGCACCCGCACAGCCAGCACACCCAGCTTCCAGGCTGGTGCCAGGATCTCATTCACCCCAGCAGAAGTGCCACAGACCCACACTCAGGAACATGCCTATAGGGCTGGGGCACAGAGGCCCCTTGGTAGTGAAGACGGAGACTTAAGAGGAGGGAAAGATCGAATCCAACGTACCAAACACCTTTAACATTTTTTTTTTAAGCTTAAACCAGCAACCACTTTATTTATTTGTTTATGAATCTGTAATTGGGGCAAGGCTCAAAGGGACGCCACTGGCATCACCTGGGACAGTATGACTGGGCTGGAAGACCCACTTCCAGGGACACATCTTTTTTATTAATAACAGCAGCAGTTGCTCCCAAGAGTGGGCACCACCCTGCCTAAGAATACCCAGACCCATCAGCACACATGACCTCCAGGTCCTCAATTCCCCTTGGAACAAGACAGGATGGTATTTGTTTTTCCATTTGGCAGATGGGTAAATCAAGGTGCAGATGGGAAGGAAAAGAATCTTTGAACTGGAAGGAAATGATGGTCAACACTGACTAGGTTATTCCTCCTGATGGCCAGTCTCCCTAAAAAACTCATCCAGCTACTGCTTGGGCCCTCTGTTCTAGTGGGAATGCCCTTCCTGTCCCCGTCCCGGCTTTCCATGACCTCCTTTCTGGGCTCCCACAGGCCCGCAGGATCCCCTATCACAGCCCGGTTCGTGCCCCGCACACCATCATCTTGCAGTCCAGGCTGCCCCTCCCTAAGCGCTGAGGAGGCCCTCAGTATCCCCTTGAATGAATGAACGAATGAATGAATGAATGAATGAGCAGACGAACCTGCTCACTCTGAGGCCCATGAGTAGAAGTGCCCCCTGCCCTATGTTACCCACAGCAAAAACTGGACTGGAACCCACATCCCCTGCGCCCCAGTGGGAAACCCAAGGGTTCAGCAATTTCATACCTGCCCTTCGGAAGGTAAGACTGGATTGACAAATGAAAACCCTCAGAACCAACTAGAAATAGGGTCCCAGGTACCGCCGTTGGTCCCGCCGTGCAGTCAGAGGCTGCGGGAGGGTGTTTAGTGCTAAGCAAGGGGGGAGGGTTAGGAAGGGGAGACAGCAGATGGTAAGGAGGGAATCAGTGGGAAGGAAGAAAGGAGGGTAAGGTCAGGGCGAAGTCAAGGACTTAGGGGCAGGCAGGGGAAGCAGGCTGGTGTTGTGGACACCCATTGCATTCTCTGACCTTCCATGTTGCCTTTGCAGAGACGCTCCTCCCTCAGCTGCATGGAGAGGGGCTTAGACAGGGTGAGGGCTAACATCCCTTCCAGCCCCAACAGTCGGCAATTCCATGCATACCTGGCAGAGATTTGAGTGATGGCACTGAAAAGGGGCAGAGTAAGTGACAGAAGGCTTCCTGGAGGAGGTGAGACTAGTTGAAATTTTCTGGATGCAGGTCCAGCTACTTCTGATTTCTCTCATCATCCTATAGTCCTCAGGACAAGACTCACACCCACTCCCTCCCTGCCCTGTTCTCCACTCGTGGCCTCAAGAGCAGAAAGAAGCCCCTCGGAGCTTATGATTGGGCACAAAAGAGTGGCCACAGCCCATGAAGGGCCTTTTCAACCTTAGAAACAAAAGGCCTGACAAACGGGCGGCACACGTCCAGCTGCTTTCTCCTCCTGGGCACACGCCCATGGCCGGCCACACCCCAGCACTGGAGTACAAGGCCACCGTGTCCGGAAGTGTTTCAGAATTTCCGACCGTGCTTCAAGGGACTCTGCTGCCCCACCATGCACACATCTGGCAGCTGGCACGCCTGCTCTGGGCTGCAGTCCTTGGCCAGAGTCACTGTTCCTGTTCAGAGCATCCAGCTAGCCAGAGGAACATCCCATCTGCTAATTTGTCCCTAACAGGAGCCAACCCTGCCCTCTGGAACAGGGAGAGTCTAGAAGAATGGAGGCCCTCATCCCAGGCTGCAGCTCCAGGGCTGCTCCATCGCTGAGCAAGGGTGTACGGAATGTCAGCTGTAGGTCCAGGCTCTAGCTGGCCCGTGGGGAGAAGGCAGGAGGAGAATGTGTCCCAGATTAAGAGCATGGGCTTCAGAGCCAGGCTGCCTGAGCACTTAGCCTGGGCCGTCTAGCTCCTCTCAGCTACAGATTCCCTCTCCGCAAAGTGAGCCTGAGGGCCATGGGCTGGCACTCCTACAGCTCAGGGCCTGGGGCAGCGCCATCACTCTGCAAATGAGCTCTTGTGTTGTCATTATTATTTCAAGGTCCCGGCCCCTCAGAGTCCACATTCCTCCAGGGACAGGACCCATACAGGAGAAAGCAGGGCCATGCCAGGGAG